ATATATATATATATATATATATATATATATATATGTATATAGTAATATATTTAAATGGAAAATACTTGCTCCATTCAAATTTTGTGTTTGCAAAAACAGAAAAAAACAACAACCCAGAAACAAAACAAAGCAAAAAATATAAAAAAAATCATCTCCTATAAAATGATTTTAAGTTTACATAAAACACTTTTGTCTGACCAGCCCAGTTCTGGCAGTGGAAACACTTGGGGGAGAATAATTACTCAAGAAATCCCTGATTCACGGGTCTATAGGTGTTTCTATTGCAGAAAAAATAAGTCCTGGAGAATAAATTGTCCCACAATGGACAAAGGCTAAATTAGGAGAAAACTTTGGTTCTGTCTGGTTATGTTAGCTGATAATAAATGTTGCATTACTAAGTAATAACAATAAATTCTATTAATGTGGCTGTTTATTTTTTTCTTCATGTAATACGTGATGCCAAACAAGGTGATATGTACTTAAAAGTCAGGCTTTCCTAAATCGTTCGGTGAAAAATTATTTTTCTAAGGCTTTTTACATTTTGTTATCTTTGGTACCAAAATAAAATCTCTAAATATATTTAAAACTGCTAAAGATAGTGTTTTACAAGGTCTCCATTCATACGCACACTAAAAAAAAACCCAATGCAACCGTTTTTGGCATTTAATTAATCAGATTTATACTTTGATACTATTTATTCAAGTTAGCAGGGTACAACTTAAAACATTTGTGTTAAAGTAACTAAATATGAATAAGGAGATGCCAAACACGCTATATTTTTTTATATAGGAGGGTAGTTCAAACTGCTTTACAGGAAAACCAAGAAATATGAAAATTAATGCACACTGACATGAATATAACAACAAATAAGAAGCATAAACAAGATATAGAGTAATACGAATTAATGTTTTTACTCTTGATTTTAAGGTTCCATCAATTTATCCACATCTCAGGTGTTTCTAATATGAATTGTTATGTAATAATAATTTTAGTTGTTGTACCCTGAACATTTATTTTTACCAATTTGATGGCGACCAGACTGTGAGACTCATTCCTGTGAAGACCTGTTGACCTGAAGATATGATGGCTAAAGAGGATGAGGAGCTTTACTGTACCTCACCTTAGCTCCCCATGTCACTGCGGCTAATGTGTAAGGCTATGATTTAAACCTAACATATTATAATATGCTTTTCTGTTTGTTGTCCGTATGACAATGTTTAAAAAGCATTATTTCTTCACAAGCTTAGAAGAGCCAAGTCAGCAGAAGTACAGATTCTATGCTTTGTACCTTTAACACAATAGCAGAAGCATGAAAGGAGAATAATGTTGGCTTGAGGAAATCTGGTCTCTGGAAATAATGTGAATGAAGGTATAGTGTGAGGGATAGACTGGGATAAAAAAGGCCATATGGTGCTGGAATCAATGGGAGTCCAGTTTAATGACAGCATCTGCCATTGCTTCTTTTAAGAGTCACACTGTTCTGCAGAACAGGACCTTTTAAGTCTTGGTTTTATTTGTATTAGCAATAATTTTGTTACCTAGCACAAAACTCCAAAAGATGAAGACACTTAAGTATTTAGAAGGAAAGAAACTTAAGCACAATATTGATGAGTCATCGTTCAATTAACAGATACACCTGAAAACACAGTAAAGTCTTTAAAGTCAAAAAACAAGGTTGTTTCTCATCTGTCTGTCTTCTTTAAGAATGAAAAGTCGAGCAGCAGTCATTTGGCAGAGTATCTCTGGCCTTGACTATAGATGATGGAGACCATCTCAACCTCCCCAGCATGTGCTTTTATTCTAGCAGTTTTTGTCAAGAAGAATGAAGATTAACTCATGAAAATCCTCATCCCTCTTTAACTGTCTTTATGGCCTAAACTTCTATTAACATCAAGCTGTCTCAGTTTCCGTCTAAATCCAAAACATCGCCTAAACCATTTGGAAATCAGAACTTTAGAAAAACTTTAAGATCTCACCCAGAAGATTCCATCCATGGTTCAGGCCTCCTTCTCTCTTTTCTGATGTTTTATTATTCCTCCTGGGTGTTAAAACATCTTCTCTTGGCTCTAGTTGTGAATGCACGCCAGTGACTGGTTAGGGTTAAGTTCCCCAACCTGAGCACAGCTTCAGCCTCCCCCCCTCCCTCCATTTCTTCTGCAGGCCACTTAGGTTGCCTCATCAGCCTGGTCCCAACATAGAATCTACTGCCCTAAGTCAGGCAACGTGCTCTCTCCCTCTCATCCTGATTACAGAAGATTTACGGATTAAGAGAAAGAAACAGACAGAAGCCAACCTTGCTCCCGCTGCTCTCAGTTTGTCGAGTTATTCTGCTCTTTCTCTCATCTTCTTGGCTCTCTCACAGTCTGCCTGTCCACAGCTCTGAGCTGCCCATCTGTTGTGTGAGTGAAAACCTTGCTTGCTGTCCAAAAATGAAAAAAAAAAAGTGTTGTGACTGAATCACTAAGGCTATGTGTCTGCTAAAACTGCTGAAGACCCCAACCAACCACATTAATGCAGTTCTCTTCATTGTAACAGGTGTGTTATAATGAAGCTGAGAGTCTTGGATCTGGTTTTTGATGAAAATTAATTTGCTTCGACAAGAAAAACTCTCCTTACTGTTACTCAGCCAGAGGGCCTCATAGTTCCCATAGTAAGAATGATACAGACTGTGTGCAAACTGCAGAGTCCAGATCCTTACATGATGTGCAAGAGCTTTATTACATATATTGGGGTTCAAGTATTTATTCGGTATGATATTTTCACCTTTGAAATTATTATCAAACTTGCAAAAATAATAAACACTCAATATTTTAAGGTTATGCTTTCTTTTTTTGCCTTTAACAGGCTCCATGTTATGTGGACTGCATCAGTACATTGAGAAAAACATTACACTAAAAGGTTTATTCATTGCATCAATGACTCTTTGTCTCAAAGGTCATGTAAAAAGATTAACCCTCATACCTAAAGGGAGTAAGGCCACACTTAGACTGCTTTTGCACTTCATTCTAGGCTTATCTAGGCAACATCTGATGTCTGTTTGAGAGATGGTGCCTGCCCCCTCCTGTTCAAACTTGAGAATGCATGTGTTAATACAAAAACACTATGTACAACACTATGTAAAACACAAGAGGCTACCTCACTGGGTACACCCTCTCAATTGCTTTTTAAGGCAAAGAGCAAGCAGACTTAGCAAGTGGTTGCAAATTACTACATTTAGGCATCTTGATGTGATGAAAGCAACATGTCAAATTTCCAACTGGGCATCAGAATAAGGTTGAATGAGGATTTAGGTGACTTTAGACACTTACGAAGGTAATCCAAAGCGAGCTTTCATGTTTGCAGAGAATGATAAGATTTACACTGGAAATGCATTCCCTATTTTGATATCAGACAGTGGTGCAGAATTGGAAGATTATGAAATGATTAATCCATGCAGCCTTGAGGATGTTTTCTTCTTTTTTCAGCAACATTGGGCCCCTTAGTATCAAAAAAGCATTACTTACATAATTTCAATCTGAGTACAAAGCTTACCATGTCATCTCTTTTTGAATACATTGCAACCACTTTCTAAATGATACTACATAGTACACCAATCGCTGTTACAGTGGGGAGGCAGGAGATTGAAAACATTGGGGTTCAAATGCAGCAACTATGTAAAGCCACAGAGTCAATATTAACCAACATCTCTGAGAAATGTGTCAGACACCTTGTTGAACCCTCTAGGTCTAAGAAAATGTTCCTCGGCCAGCAAAGGATGGAAAGCAAAAAACAATGTTCTGTATTTAACTTCTTACCTGTATATTCTGCAATGAGTTGTGGATCATGACTTAGAGAACTAGATAATGGCACAGAGAGACTAAAATTAGATTCCTTTAAGATGGCAGAGCTCAGCTTTTGAGAGCGTATGACGAGCTTTAATGCACACATCAGCTCAGAATTAGAAATACATCATTCATAAGCTTCTGAAGCAAAATCCCACAGAAAGCTGCAGGCAGTTTTTTTTTTTTTTTTATGACAAAACTGCACTTCTGGCTGTGAACTTAAGGATCACTTCTCAGCATCATAGCAACCTGAGCCGTTACTCAAAAGAGATGCTGTAAGTTTAGACCAAAAAGCCTTAGCCAGACCCGTACTGAAATGAACCAAAGGAAGTGCTAGTAGTAGGAAGTTACATTAAGGGGGTAAAGATTATGGCCTAAAGGGAGTAAATCAGAAATATAATTGTCAGGAAATATCATAGACTTGAGGAATTTCTGTTTGTTAAAGGTGGACTGGGTATTTTGGATGTTTTTCTCCATACTTCTTGGGTATGCCAAATGCAAGTTGACCAACCAGATGAGGGCAGCATAGTTCTCTCTGCACACTCATTGTGGCTTCAACAACAAAAAGCTTTAGCTCTGATTTTTCCACAACAGTAATCACAGCAAATTTGTACATAATGGAGAACATTTTGTTCTGGTACAGACCTTATTTAAGCCTTCAGATTTCCTTATAGGGTCTTAGCTATGGTCTCCTTATTCTTTAAATTCTTTAAGGAGACTTTCACTCATCAAAATGCTGTTCTGCTGGTTGTCTGGTTGTTGTCCCCAGACACCCTGGTACCCAGCAGAAGTCAGCAGCATAGTAAAATAACTTAAAAAGAGGCTTTGGACAAAGTGAAGTAAGTTTAGTCAGCTTAGTGACTGATTGTATGGAGAGACGTGTGCTCTGCTAATATTAGACTGCTGGCAGTCTCTTGGGGACTGATTTAAGTAGTGCATTGCTCAGACTTTAGGGGCTTTATCATTTCCATCTAAGTTCCTGAAGACTGAGGCTCTTCATTTTGTGCTCTGAAAACATCTGAATAATTATTTGAATTAAAGGAAGTAGTAGGAAGGCAGTGTTTTACCTGCGTATGCAAGGAAAGTAGATCTGGGCAATACTGCTAAAGCAAATTCCACCTTATCAGTTGCATTAAACTTGACTACTACAATCTCCCTGTGCATAGACACATGCACATACTGCTCCATTCATCCCAATAATTACTAAAGCTCATTTACTTATACCTACTGTCTGTTCAACATAAACAGCAATTTAGGAAGTCTTAACTCAACCCATAGGGAATAAAATTCAACACCTTTTAATTGTCAACATTGTTTCACATAAATAACACTTGTGTTGTGTTAAACAGTTAACAGTGACAGTTGGAGAAACAATCTCATTATTTTAAATTCAACAACTGTGAGCGTTGAATTGATGTAAGATTAGTGTATAGTGTCAAAAGTAAACACCACACACTTTCAGGATTTATATACAAATATAGCTGAGTATCATCAGCATAATGGCGGTAATCGATCCCATGCTGTCTGATACACTGTGGCTACAGTTGCCCTCAGGCATGATTACAGAAGTGAGGCTGTTGTGAACACATGCCACCAGGCCATCAGTACATTATCAACACATCACAAATTCAGGTTAGGTGTCTTGCCTTAAAAAAAACATGTGGGTTAGCAAATATTTTTTGAAGGAGTTCACAGATAAGTTCAGCTAAGTGTAGATTTTGAAATCAACACGTAACAGAGTTGCCTTACTTTAACTTTGTAGATTAACACCAACTCTTTGAAGAAACTAACTGTATTGCATAGTTAAATTAGACAAAGCACGTTTTGAGTTAACATAGTTCTTTTAACACCAACACTGGTCATTTAAGAGATTTGGATTTGCTGTGCAGGTGCTTGTAACTCAGGTTAAATGTATTGCAAACAGTTATTGCTAACAAAGCTGAATCTGATTCTCATTACGGAGTATCATATTGGACTTTCCAAGCATAATGAGGTTCTTAAAAAAAAAAATGCATCAGTTTTTATTACATCACTAGGTGATGCTGCTTGACTAATGGAACGGAACAAGTAATAAGAAAGGGACTAATCTGAACTTTCAAATATAATCTCGACTATATTTTTTGAGGGGGATTTTTGAGGTACTCATAATTCTTCTTCCTCCAAACACAGTTAGTGGAATTATGACCAAAAAGTTCTATTTTGGTCTCATCTGACAACATTACTTTTTTCCCATAACTCCTCTGGATCATCCAAATGGTCATCGGCAAACTTAAGATAGGCCTTGACATGTGCTGGTTTAAGCAGGGGAACCTTCCGTGCCATGTGTGATTTCAAACCGTTACGTATTAGTGTATTACCAACCGTAACCTTGGAAACGGTGGTCCCAGGTCTTTTCAGGTCATTGACCAGGTCCTTCCATGTAGTTCTGTGTTGATATCTCATCTTTCTTAGTATTATTGACACCCCACGAGGTGAGATCTTGCATGGAGCCCCAGTCCGAGGGAGATTGACAGTCATGTTTAGCTTCTTCCATTTCCTAATGATTGCTCCAACAGTGGAGCTTTTTTCACCAAGCTGCTTGGCAATTTAACCGTAGCCCTTTCAAGCCTTCTGGAGGTATATAAATTTGTCTCTAGTGTGTTGGGCAGCTCTTTGGTCTGGGTCATGTTGATAGATGGATTCTTACTGAATGTATGGGGTAGACAGGTGTCTTTATGCATTAACGACCTCAAACAGGTGCATCTAATTTAGGAAAATAAGGCAGTTATTCTGAAGGCAGAATAAGGTTCAAAATTCTAACTGATAGGTGTTCAAATACTTATTTGCAGCTGTGTCATACAAATAAATAGTTAAAAAAATCATACATTATGATTTTTTTTAGATTATGTCTCTCATAGTGGATGCACCCACAATCATAATTTCAGACCCCTCCAGGATTCCTAAGTGGGAGAACTTGCAAAATAGTAGGGTGTTCAAATGCTTATTTTCCCCACTGTATGCTGTGAGAATAACAGACTTGGACAAACTTTATTGTCATTTTAGCAACAAGACATTGGGACTGACACCCCTGGTGGAGCCACCAGCAGAATTCCTTTAACAACAAAATTGCTGCCTTTGATTCAATAACTCCTTAAGTTCAGACTGTTCTTCTTAGGCAACTATATGAACCTATCTCAAATTCTTATGAGATATGTTGAAAGTATTTTTGAAATGCTTTAGTTCACAAATAAACACTTATCTTAGAAATTGAAGTTAATTGAACTGTTGGATATTTGGACTCCTTTAAATGGGTGTGTGTGCATACCTTGTCTATGATTGACACAGCTGCCAATGCAGGGAGTACTTGACCTCCAACCTAGAGTCACAAGAAAATTAGAACTTTAAATGACAAGAAAAAAAACTGTTTATCGAAGCATAATGTTTAAGGAATATAGAGAAGCAGTGTTAAGTTATATTTCATATTTACAGGATACCTTGGAAAATAATAAAAGTATTCGTAAATTTAAAAAAAAACAAATCTTGTGGTTAGCTGAAAAAAAATAAAAGAAAATATTTTAGATATTGAAACTGAGAACATCTTATTTTGTTGCAAACATTTGTTTCTATAAACATAACTGTTTGCTTGTTACCCCTAAATTTATAACATGTCATTATAAAACCCACTGATGGCTGCCAGGACTATTTTCTGCATCTTCTCCATGCCCACAGAAACCTTTGCTATTTGCTGAGTGTTTGGATGCTTCTTTCAGTTTTCAGCCTCAACCATTTAGTTTAGTCACAGAAACTCATTTTATGAATACTGTATGATTCAGTGGTGGCAGGTCAATGGAAGGCGCTAGGGCACCGCCCCACCCATCCAGTGACCCTTATTAAGACATAAAA